AAATACCCCCCCCCCCCCCCTTCGCCATTTGGGCCCGACAGGAACGCATGGTCGCTGACTACAAAACACATCTTGCAGCAAAGAAAAATAAACCAAAAAAAAAAACGTTCTTTCACATTTTTATACTAATACAGGAACAGTGTGCTGATTACAACAATCGTCCGCTTTGATTTGGAGAGAGTGGTACGTGATCACACTAAAGCACACTCGAATTATTGAAAGTAATCAAAGATGAAAAATTGTATCAACAGAACATGAAATTTCTATGATTTCGTTTAGAGCCATTCTTTTTATAGGCATTGTACATGTTTATTGTTCAATAGTTACTGCTGCTTCTGTAGATATGAAAAATACAAGCTCATTCGCTGCTAATAGATGATCGTTTCCCTTGTGAGTCACTGATTCTAATAGGCCTACATGCAATTTACAAATCACACCATTCAGAAGCCTGCGTTTATTCCTATATAAGCATATTGAATCTATCGATGGCTTTGACTGAATTGATAGGGTCAGGGGCCTAAATACTAATTGCCTAGAATTCATCAATTGTGTTTAACATTTGTAATGCCTCTTTTCAGTGCGTTAAAATGTTTGTCTGGTAGAAGATTTTTTTAAAAAGCGATGATGTGTGGAATGTTCCCCCATCGTCGAAACTCGTATCTAACCCTCATATATCAAGCCTAAGGCGACAGCACCTGTATACACCTGCGTTTAAAGCGTTTGACAGATGTGCTAAGGGTTGTAACAGATAAATGTTTACATTTGCACCTCCGAATATTCTGGCGATCCACTACAATCGACCTCATTAGGGCAACATTGACCAATGCCTACTGACCTTTTACCTGACTCAATTGTCTCCCATAGCTCAAATGTTTCCAAAATATCTGTATTAATGATTTAATTTATGATTACTGACGCCAATTACATAATAACTGTAAGTGCATAAATCAAAATTTCGGTGTCGTGCTCATGAATACGCGCATGCTATTACCATAAACTTATGTTCGGTATGGTAAATAATTTTTTATGATGCATGGGATAGGCCTACCTGAAATGTAAATGAAAAATATTAGGAGGATCAGAAAAGTTGGTGAAAGCATGTCGTTTGTAATTACCGCGAGTGATTAAACACTACACACTGTTGATTTAAACATCGGGACCTTAGCAACCGAGTAACCAAGGGAATTCATAATATATAATTCGTGGCAAAAAAGTTGATGAGGTGCGTGACATGCGCGTGACTGATGCCACCAACACGTTACACCACGACGCAGGGGGAATGACTGTAAACTGATTTATGGTGTACGACATAAGAGTAATGATAATACTATAATTTAACTATCAGACTCGATGTTTGCTTGTTCATACTCCATTTTGACAGCTTATTTGTAAACTGCTAAGAATTCTTCAAATATTGATTACCCGAGGGAACCGGACCCAATTGCGTTTGTAGTGTTAATATTCCCCTTAATGCAATTTCCAAGAAACGGAGACTTTATTGCCTGTTAGTTTAAAACTTTCAATAAATGCTTAATTGCATCATTTCAGCAAATCGGTCGTGGAATCAAATGTGAGTTGAACACATGTGACAATTCATCAAATGAATTTTCATTAGTACGATGTCTAAATCGTCTTGCATAGGCCTATCTTAACCGTTGGAATGTGCTACAGAAAAGTTTTTAGCCGATGAGGGCGGTACATAAGTGTATAAAAATACAATAGGACCGCCAGATTATTAAGCAGCACGGTGGTTACACATGTTATAATAGATTTATATCATCTTTTAATGTCACTATGTTTCTATATTAACTCAAGCTGGCGGATTGTCTTCTAAAAATCACATCTGCGTTATGTGCGAATTTTTCTTCTTTCTATTTTGTCGACGGTACAATTATATTTAGATTCAGCTACTTAGCATAATATCTTGTGATTGGTTAACGAAATTGAAGTATATGATAAAAAGCATATGCAATCACAAAATGACACTTTATCAGTCATCACGCAGTAAGAGGTGACCTTCTTTTCAGCTCAATCAGAAAAAAAAAAGTATTTTATCACGAAGGGGAAGAAACATTAATATTTAATAATTATTGACATATATCTCTAATTTTCAGTTTGATAAATACTATTTGACATAAACAAAAACTCAATAATAATCAGTTGAGACATTCTACAATGATAAACCAACAATATTCGGGTGATGTTTGCTTAGCAATTTATGAAATATGTCTTAATAGGCAAATACGTATAAAATATAAAACGTACATGTCATCTTACAGAGTCATACGGTGGGTTCACGCTTTTTAATAGCATACAACATACAATCATAGGTAATATCAGGTCTTAATTACATAATTAATTAGTCAATAATACTCGACACCGCAGACATAAATCCACGCAGGGACTCTATCACCAACAATCAATCAGCCTTATTAACCATCTTTGTCGAAGCAGTTGGTATTGCTTCGTAGTGTTTCGTTTTATATCAGGAGCTGGGTTTGATTTCTCCTCGGGGACGTTATAAATATCGGTTACATGTAAAAAACCACGATGACAAGCGATTCGATACGGGTTTTATAAATGCATTTCCCAGTGGAATATAAAAAATAACTCGTTTAATGTCCGAATCTCGTCACAAACATCCTCTAAACACTGGTCAATGGCCTAAAATAATGATGATTCTGAAAACCCCTTCTCAACTAGGACACTGACGTCTGATTTTTACAATTACTGACTGAATGTCGTAAAGGGCAAATCATAGATACAACTAGTAGGCCTATCTGTGTTAACATGAAATAATGCCGAGGCTTTGTGTGTCCGGTCAATTAATTAGATTGTGGTCATATTATACAGAGCAATTGCGTTTAATTCAGAATCATCATCCACTTGGGTATTGGTGGTATTTCTAATACAAACAATGTATTTAGTGGAATTACAAAAACGTGAACTTTTTTTCAATAATTAGGGCTCTCTGTACAGTTATGAGAACCTAAAGATGGCGCTGTTATATTAGTAAAATTACATGAAAAAATATTGATTGTGGAAGACAAAGTGTCATTCATGCACATTATTGTGTATTGTGGATGATGTTCTATTCGATGAAATTCGTTGCAAACACTATAATATAAGGGTGTATTTCATTAAGAGCACATTTGTTTCGTGACCCCCATCCAAGTAACTTTAATTGCCTATTATATCAGGGGTGGAAAATTTCTTGCAAGTTGCTCTGTATTGTACAATTCGTTTGATGGCTGGACTGAACCAGTGATTTTTTAAAAACAAGGATATTAACAATTAAGCAACTTTCTTGAATTAGTATATGAATATGTGACTTTTTATAATATAAAAGTTCACTCTGTACAGGCCTTCTCATAATAGATATAAAGGTCTTTATTGTAGTCCCTTGATCGACTTCCGAAGCTAATCAGACAATCCAAACTCATTCTCGCACCAAGTAGGGCCTACATGATACGCTATACCAGGAATCTTATGACGTGGCAGCGACCCAGCTTCTGGTGAAACGGCCGGTCACAGTTGCTACAGGATATTGATTCCCTGTGTTACAAGTTGGTCATCAGCGCCAAAGGGACGAACCTCAACGTCTGGTCAATACCAAATTATTAGAAGCAAAAATAAAATCTGCCACCAAAAGAGGGCTGTCGGTATAACCAACCCGGAAGCCCTGTGTTATTAATACTGTTGATATTTTTTTTAGTACTATAGTACTCAATTACCCTGCATTAGACATAATGTATTAATAGGGCCTACTCTGTAATTAATAGTAGGCTCAGTATAGCCTGCATAACATCATACCTACATTATATCGGCACCCACTGCTTGTGGCAAAGTAATACTGTACTTTAAAAATCAATGCAACAGAATGAGATATAACGACCTATTAAAAAAGAAAAATTACTACAAAAATCTTTCAAATTGACTATCATTTCCAAAGACGCCTAAGAAATCGTATTTTATCCTAGGTATGCGTTTATTCTGAAATATTTCTCTCGTTAATCTGATACTCAATTTTAAGATATCTGAGGCCTTCTTGTAGGACGGGAAATAACATTCGTTTGGTCACGCACACACTAAATTATGTTGAGTAGCCCGGAGAGGTTCATTTATCAATGTTTCAGTTTTAAGAGATAATCATCACTATTTTGCTGTTTTATTGCGTTGTTATGGTCAGCTACCAGGAAATTTCAATACAGCATAAACTAAACATTTTAGCCAAATGTAACTTATCCTCACTACTTCACAAATACTTTATTATCTTACTTATTATGAACTTGATTCGAGTTCATGTTAGATAGGGTATGGTATTAAAATGTTGACAGATTTCTATGTATGGTGCACCAATCAATAAATGTTAGAACTATTTGAGGACGTGTTTATGGTTGAAGATCTCAAATTCCAACAAAAATTATTGTCACATCGCAATAGATATTTCCATTTTTTATTAGAGGCTTAACATTTGTGCAACCAACCCCAAATAATGCAGGCATGCACAGTATATGCTTTTAAGTTTATTTATAGTGTGAAAATGGAAATTATGAGAACAAATCTAAATCGATGGGTAAAATTTTTCACATAATATAGTACTAAATCCAGTGTCTCTAGGCCTAGATCCCAAATTTCCTTACCGGTATTTAAATGAATTTCAAGTGTGAGCCATTTTTTGCAAGTCCTGAAGCGAGCCCATCTATATTCCGTTGAAACGCCAGTGGTTAGACAAAGGTCCATGTGGGTCAGATTTGCCGACGAAAGCAAAGTGTGCGTGGTCGAGCTTCGATTAAAAGGTTTCGAAAGTGGTCCTGGGAGCGAACCCCCGAACATTTTGACAATTTAGGGGTTTCAAAGGCTTATTTAATCGATTTTATAGTCTACTAATATGTAGAAAATACATATAATTGTTTTCCTCCCCGACGAATTGTGCTTTTTCTCCCCGACGACACCCCCAACCCCCGCTGGCGCCACTCCTGGACCAAGTGCCTCACATTTTATAATTCCTTCTCACATACATAAACAATAATCTTTCAGGAAGTTAATATTTGCTTTAGTCAATGTGTTTAATCAATTACATGTTTACTGTAGACAGGCCTATAAGTCGTAGGCCCGTCAAAGAAACTGCTGTCATAAATTTCACATAGGCGCATCTTCACGTCACATGACGTATTCGTTGACAAATACCTGTAATTAGCATAATGTCCAATGCTGATGGTTGTTTCTTGCTCTGTAGAATGAAGTAATTTTATGTTATGCGCGACAAAAAAAACAAAACAAAAAACACTTGTACATCATATCATGGAGTTATAAAATTTTATAACTCCATGATCATATTTATATCAATATAGGCCCTCACTGAGGTATTAAACCTTATGGTACAAACCAAAGATACAATTTTGAGGGCTTAAAGACAAATTGTGTGTGATGGTCAAGAAACCTCCAAAGCGTATAAAAGAGCTTTGATAAGTCTGATCAATTGATCAGTGTAGGCCTAAATTGCTCTGATTTGTGTAGGAACAGAATGATTGGGTTTATTTGGAGACATTTAATTGCAGAGACATTAAAAACCCTGGTGCCATTATTAGTTTATATAGCAAATTATTTGCCTCCAATTTTGAGTATTGTAGTGTTATCTTCAGTTCGGCTTGATTCTCAGTTAACTCGTATCTTTTGTCTACCCTTGCCCTTTAATTTCCAATAGAAAAAGATTGTTATTACATGATATGTTGTTTGTCTACAAATGTGTTAATTCCTCTTTTAGCTGTGATCTAGTTCAATTGTTTGGTCTTCATGTAAATTCCTGAAATTTGCGTTCTTGTCCTGTTTTCAATGTTCCTTTTAGTAGAGTTGATGTTTGCAAACATAGTTTTCTTACTAGGATACCAATGCAAATTTAATTCTTTTTTTCTTCTACAAACGATATTGACAATTTTTATAAGTTTTTTAATTTTTCGGACTCTCAATTTAGAAGCAATTTTAGATTTTTTAAATATTTATCTTGTAATATCATATCATATTATATTTGTATGATGTTTGTGATTTTAGCTAGATTATTATACCAGTCTGTTAGCGGCGATGATTCGCTATTGGATTGGAATAATTAAATAAGTAATAATGTATGTAATAGAATGGGCAACTACATGAAACATCACGGCCATCATGAAAGACACACCCACTTAAACACAGAATACGTTTGCACAGGGTAATCCAGGGCAAAAAAAAAAGATGCCACTTTTTATTCAAAGTTGAGTTAACATCAGCGACCAACCGAGATTCACCTGTTTTCAACTATATCATCATATCTACATTATGTGTGAAAATACCTACATTACAAGTTGTTTTCATTGTTCGACCCTAAACTTAGTAAAGTACTTATAACTGACCTTTCCAGAGTGTCAATCAAATGTAACAACTGACCAATCAGAACAGGGCCAGGAATTTGCGCATGTGCAACAAACACACGTGTTGTCCCACAAACGCATGTGTGCGCGTACACTTTTACACAGTCGTTTGTAGGACCTTACGTAAAATATCAAAGGGCGGTGATTTTAGCGGAAAAGTCCATTATTATATACAGGACAAAAAAAAAATCCATTTCGAAAATCTATTTAACGTTCAAGTACAACATCATTGCATTCCATGGCAACCTTCCTGTGGCCATTGTTTTGCTTTGCTCAGTAAGAGTAGATTAATGAGAATAAAAAAATTCAGTTATTAACTCTTAATCATTTTTAACCTCTAACGAGTGGTGTATGTAAAAATTGTCGCGTTCTATTCCATTTTAAACCAATCATTCAATCACTATTTGAGAAGATCAATAATTAATCAAACAGTAGGTACATACAACGAAAATCAACACTTGTATGTTAATGTACAATATTAACAACAACAGCAAAGTGCACAGAAAAAGAGAAATTAATGTTTGAAAACCTAAATCGATTGTATGGGCATTTTATCTGGAAAAACAGTAACCAGGAAATGTCAATACAGCGATGGAGAAGATTTCCCATCTCAGTACATCCCATAATTTTCTATGTTTTCTGTTTTAACAGATCAAACAAAAGGATGATATATATACATAATATTTACAACATAGGAATTGGCATTTATGACTTAACTGTACAAAATGACGGAACATTGTATGAGCGACGAATTACTATAAAAGCTTCCAATTTAACATTTTATTTAATTTGTTTAGAACATCCAAAATATAATATTTCATTTATTTTTCACTAATCAATTAGAAATTTAGTGACATAGTTACAAAATACTACTATTAATACTAACAATTATTTTTGACTTATATAGTGTCCCATATGGAAACAGTGCTCCAAAACAATATACGACATGCAAAAAATGCCACAACCAAATCTTGAAAATTCCACAATCATGACAAAATTCAAATAAACATGATTTGATGATCAAGTTATACTGAATTGATAACAACTATTCTAATAAACTTGAAGAAGAATAATTAAAATAAAAACTATTGTTTTATATATATATATAATTTCGCATAATAGTCATACAGGGCTTATCCAAAGAAAAACTAAAGGGATTCTCTTCAAATGTACAATTTCTGTACAGAAATCATCAACATCATTATATATTCCACAATCTCCATTTTATTATTAGAGATTTTGTTGTCAAAATTCAATTTAATTCTCGTTGCTAAGAAACCAGACAACCAATAAAATTATATCAGTATAAATAAAAGAGACATCATAAATATGATACAATAATACAAACATTATTAATAATAAAATAACCAAAAAAAAAACAAATGAAAATAAATTGACACAGGACAATCACATAAAATATCATTGGTATTTTGCTCATATTTTTCTTCACAATTAAATGATCTGGGGCGGATGCATGGGGGTGCAGACGGTGCGGTCGCACACCCATAAATTGCATCAAGAAATATAATTCTTGTATTGTTGATATGAACATAGGCCTAATACCGATTTTCAAAGTATGAGAGTGCAATTTCCGGGCAACTAGAGGTCCATGTTCTCAAAATTTGCTCACCTCAGTCCCAACAATGGTGTGGCTGAGGGGTGTCGATTCTCACACACCCCCACCGACTGCATCCTCCCCAGATGATTGAAAAAATTTCAACATTTTTTACATACCAGAAACTGAAGGGTAAACCGAGTCAATTTCACTACCTCTCATCTTTTAAATTACATGAATTCAGTTTTATTACTTGAGTACACAAACCAGTTGAGCTGTAATGTTGATAGTCATTTAGTGAGATATTTCTACCTGTACTGACCAGAGCCAAGTTTCCATAGTGGAACTTACCACTAAATGGAATCATCCTTAATAGCAAAGAGCATATATAGTAATCTATAATAGGCTTGAATGGACAATTCCATTCATTTTCAAAATGTAAGTTTCACTAAAAAAAAAAACAAAAAAAAAACTAGGGTTATAGTTGCTTCATCCAGGTTTGTATAAATGTAATAGGCTAGTAGAGTGATTAATCAAAAGAATTCAATTCTTAAAAAATAGAATTTTCACAGGACAGTGTTTGCCTTCAAAATGGCCATAATAAATGCATGAAAAATATATAGAATAGAGTAAAAAGTGCAAATAATACCACACTAACTGTATTTGAGGTGTAAATACACATTTACGCAATTGTGTCTTGCCTAGCTAGCACTCCTGTATTGTTATAATGAATAATAGCTTCGTACACAAGATGAACAAATTATGTTTAAAGTATTTAATTACTATGATTTGCATTACACTCTTCAAGGTCTGTTTCATGCCTCTTATGTGGAACTTATCAGCGGACCCAATGGATTTCAACAACTACAATATCACTGAATACTACTACGTTCCATCAAAGAATACTGGGGTTTAATCTGACATCACAGCTATTAAATTGAAACTCATAAATTACTTATTGAAAATATACACACACAATTCAAGTACTAAAAATAATCTGCTGATGTTTTGTTTTATGACCAATTCTAATTATACTTCTAAGTTGAATGAACTAGGTGAAACAATTTTATCATGGGCCATAGAGTTTCTTTAAAAAAATGATTCAGATGTAGATTTTCTGCATGAACTTGGTACTAAGTTACAGGATTACCTTAAAACACTGCGAGCACCTAGCAACAAATGTGGGTAATAAAAATATCAAATGCCTTGTGAAGCCATATCACTCACAACTTCAAATTTTACCGTTTTCAAATATAAAGATAAAAAATAAACTCCAATGGAAACTCATGTTACAAATGGTAAAATAATTTGATAGTATTAGCGAACACATGATAAGAAATAATGAAGTTTGCATTGAGTGAATTACTGGCAACACGTAAATAGCACTGTTTACTAATATCTGTCACCTTAGAACATAAACAATACTGACAATGATATCAACAGTGCAACTATCTACATCAGATACACTTACATACGTTGTTTTTGTCTTAGAAAATCTTATCTGTACAATTTACAAACTTGTAATCCAAAAATTCTCTCAATCTTAAAGCAATTCAAAAACTTCAATGATTTTCGATATTGATTTACCTCCAGAACTTCCAACTGCATTCTACAAAGGAAAAAAAGTGAATAGTTTATAAAGTGAAAAACATTAAACTTTACAAATAAGAATATAATCAAGAAACAATGAGACACAAGAAGGATAACCACAACGGGACTTGAGTGACATTAAGAAACACTGGCTGAATTTAGAAACAAAGAGGAATATTAAGTAGAGGCAAAATTAATAAACAACAACAAAGATGAACATATAAAAAAATGTTTAAATACTAGAGCAACATCAGAAAACAGTGACCGGCAACATTAAGAAATAAAGCCGATCATAAGAGGGCAAATTTAGAAATAATTTGAATATGAAGAAACAATGAAGCAACATTTAGAAACAACAGGAATGTAAAAAAACAGTGACAGGCAAAATACAGAGAATCATTAAGGACAAACTCAAACAATATGTGAAGATACAACGTGGCAACATTTAGAAACAACAGGAATGTCAGAAAATAGTGACCAGCAACATTAAGAAATAAAGAGGACCTTTAAGAGTGCAAATTTAGAAACAATACAAATGTGAAGATACAATGAAGCAACATTTAGAAACAACAGGAATGTCAGAAAAAAAGTGACAGGCAACTTTACAAAATAAAGAGGATCATTATGAGGATCAATTTAGAAACAATACAAATGATCATGATGATGAATGAGGCAACATTTAGAAACAACAGAAACATGAAGATACATTGGAAAGAAACATTTAAAAACAATAAGAGTATCTTACTGTCATTTCCATGAACTCCAGAAAGCCTTTGAGCATGTCAACCATACAGGCAAAGTCATTGTTTGGTAGGATATCACGTACATTTCTAACATTTGACTGTGGAATAAAAACAACAAAACCATCATCATTGTAACATGAATCTTTTGTTGAACATGGTTGTTATGATGATGAATATTATTATCAACTAGCAGGTCATTAAACATTGAGGAATGGTGCCAGATAGCTTTTGAAGTACAGGATAAGTCTAGTTCCCAAGATACTCTTTCAACATATTAATATTTATTACTGCTTTCAAAAGGACAAAGACCAACCTCTTCCACATAATTATTACCCTGGTCATACAAACAGCTATACACAATGTGATGTTATAATATTATGATGATTAATGTGCAGTAAAATGAAAATTACGATTAGTAAATTATAGAAATTACTGATGATGTAATGTGAATTTAATTGTTAGCATACCTGGTTGTTTCTGAGTAGGCATCCTAGTAAAAGAGCACAGTACGAAGCTACAATACTATCCTCCATGTGTTTCCCTGCTTTCTTTAGAGCTACAAGAAAAAAAAACAACACAAGTCATTACTACTACTACTACTACTATTATTCTTATTCTTCTTCTTCTTATTATTATTATCTATTACAGGTCTCTCTCGAATTAAAGACCCCTTTTAGGACCAAGGTTTCCATGGTGTTTAGCAGCTTTCGTTAGTTAAAATAATAAAGATAAAAGACATTTAAGTGGAGATCACAGAAAAGTGGTCCTAATTGGAGGTGGTCTTTAATTGGAATGGTCTTTATTAGAGGGAGACCTGTATTTATTAATGAAACTTTCTCTTAGATTAAAAATTCTTATTTATCGATTGTCATCATCGTCATCATCATTATCATCATCATTACTACTATTATCATTACTACTATTATTGTTATCATTACTGTATCAATATTGCACTCATTATGTTGTTATATTATTTTATTATTATTATTATAATTATTATTATCAGTATTATTATTACTATTACTATTATGATTATTACTAACTTTAACAATATAATTATTATCATTATCTTTATTATTGTTAATATTACCATTATAAGTTAATAGGTACATTCTACATATACATGCTAAAAGCATCACATAAATGAATGTAACCAATGTTCTACTTATCGAAAAACAAAAAAAAACTGCTCAGTAAGATTGAACCCCACATCCCGCATTTAGAGGGCAAGCACTTCAACCAGCAAACCATAGCTTTGCAATTTTATCAAACAAACAATGAACTATTAATTAAGCAATTAATTACCTTTATTGATAGTTTTCTTGATCTCTTTCTGGCTGTCAGCACTCAATTCCTGTCCCTCTTCTGTTTCGATAGTGATCCATTCCATGCCGTCTTGAGATTCTTTCCATTCTCCATCCTGCTTGGACTGTGCCGTTGGAGACTCTGGCATTGTCTCAGCCAACTTGGCTGCCTTCTCACGTTGCAAGAACATCTACATAACAACAGAAAAGTAATTTTGATACATGGCAAGTTGAATCATTTTCAAGGAAAGGCAAACTAAATCAACTCTATCCCACATCCTCGTGTTGTCTGCCTTCCTTTACGTTACCTCCTAATAAAAAATCTAGATGAACAACAACCATTCTAAAGCTCTCTCCAGACTAATAGTTTTTTTTGGAAAAAAACTGCTGTATGCCCATATATAGTCATGATGTACCTATATATGGTCATGATGTGATGTCATCATGACCATATTTAGGCATGTCACATGTTTTTGTCAAATAAAATTTGACAGGGCTTTACTTTATGGAGTAAAATGTTGCCGGATGCCTGTGCTGGAAAGAAATTATCCACTGGGATCAATACTTGTTATTAGGAAGAACATTATGCTACATTGTTTTAGAAAGTTTAGGTAGGGTTGTAGCAATGTCCTTATACTATGCTTCGGGCAGTCAATAAGGCTTGCCTCACCACTGTATGCTACACCTATGCCACATTCACAACTTTCATACCACCTTTTCAGTGCATGTAAAACTATTATGCATTATTATAGTATATGAACGAACATGATATGATTAATGTAACCCAAAGCATGCAACATACCTGAGTAAGTGCTTGCAGAACACTGGCCTCACCCTCCAAGTCAAAGTTGCTATGTTCTTGAGGTTTAGAATCATAGGAGAATTTTGTTTCAATTTTGATAAGAGTTTTACAATTGCCTGGACTGTGTTCCATTAAGTTGATCAAAAGGCCCAGACCCTGAAACAAGATTATTATTATTATTTATGTTTTTATTCGTAAAGAAAACTATGACAATTATATATATAGAGCTAAATGAAACATGTAATCTTACTAGACAGTGAATAACTAATAATACAATACTGTAGTTATACCAAAACACTTCAAATTATAGAAAAGACATGAAAAGCGGAAAACAAGATACAATGACTTTGCTGTTTAGTATTCTAGTCTAACACTCTGTAATAAACAGAAGATTTTAAGATTTTGAAAACTGCAAAGAGAATAATCAGGGATGATGTAAATATTAATACTGATGATTAAACAGTACTCTGTAAATTAGATAAGATCATTACCGATGCTTTACACTAAACTATCAAAAGAACGACTCAGGTAGACTCCGACTACTTAATTGCAAAACCAATAGATGAAGGAACTCTTTTGTGTATAACTCCATTTTTGTTTATAATCACAATTTTATCAGTAATTGTATTCTCCAGTCTCTATTATATTGAATATGTCAGATTGCAATATCCTTCTCACAATAATCAACTTTTTTTCAGGTATTCCTAATTTATATCTATTTATATATTACTCTTTGGATTTTGTTTCTGTATATAATGTAAGTTTAATGTCTGTAATATACCGTAACACTAAATATATTTTAAAATTTGATTTTTACATATTCAACCCATTGTTTAAGCACCAGGATCCAAATTTTGACTGTATCATCCTGTCTTGTCGACAATAAACATTCCTTGATTCTTCCACCCCACTCACAACAAACTCAGAATTTACTTAATTTTGAATTGTAGTTTGTATTTTTTATTATAAATTTGGGCAGGTCATTAGCACAACAGACAGCTTGTAGATGGACAAAGAGTGTCACTGAATGGAGACCAAGAAAGAGTGTTAGACACCAAGGAAGACCTAAAGTGAGATGGGATGACGAAATAACCTGGATGAGAACAGCACAAAATAGACAGCTATGGAGTCAAGTTGGAGAGGACTTAACACTGTAGTGGGTTGAAAATGGCTAATAATGATGATGATTATAAATCTAGTTATGCAAGGCTAGAGTAAGTTGTACACTCAACTCTTGTAAATTCCATTTGATATGGAAATAAAAGAAACAAATATATAATATTACCTCTATCTGACTATTGTTATTATTACTATTAGATCAACAATTGTAATTTGTAGATCAACATCTATATTGCACTTACTAACAAGAGGAGGTCAAATCGCTGATCAGCTGGAATATGTTGCGGGATCTGCATGACACAAAGGAGAATGGTCTTTATCATACCCTCCTGTCCACCCACTTTGATACATCCCCATTCTATGGTAAAGAAAAAAAGAAGAATAATCAATGGAGAAACAAGTAGTCTAACAATGAAAAAACAATATGCGACATCCAATGAGTAAACAACTACTCACTACTGTCACATGTGAGATTGAGTAATACTTGTAGTACTTCACCATTGAGTCCTTTAAAATGACTCCCTAGCTTACTAAATGAAATCTACTTACCACTGTCATGTGTGAGATTGAGTAGTACTCGTAGAATACTCAGCAAGCATTTCCTCACTATGAATCCTTTCGTGTCCTCTTGTCCAATTTCTAAGATGCTTTCTTCTGAACTGCATTCTTCAATGTATCCCTCGCATACTTTCAATGCCCTGCACAGAAAATGCAAATCAGTGTGAATATATACAAATACACAATTCTATTTCACAACTTGGTGTCTCTGGAGAATGAAGGACTTGGTGGTGGGTGGATGGATGGATTTATTTGGTGTAAACATTAAAAAAAAGTTTTATTCAGACTTTCGCGAGTTATTCTTGGTGTTTACACCAAATAAATCCATCCATCCACATACACACATTAATTGAACGTCAAAAGCGAACTTACTTAGCTAGATCATTAATGAGGCCGCAGTGGTTGTAATTAATGAGGTATTCCTGATTCACTGTATTTAAAAACGTTGAATTTTCTAAAACTCTCTGACATCGTTCAATTTGCTTGAGGCTTGAGATCTGAGAATCGCTGAATGTTGTAGATCCACCTAGCAATGATACTTGCTCAAAAACTGTCATTAAAAAAAAAATAGAAATAATAATATTGAAGAAACATATTTTAATATATAAGTAAAACACTTAAAAAAGTTCTTAGGATTTATAAATGTGCTTTATATTGGTTAAAATGTATCTTATGTCTAACAAACAGCAGATTCACTACATAATTTCAGTATGGAATACTGCTCTATAAGACAGGTCAATAGTGAGGTTTAGGGAGTGAACTGTTTATAGTTGAGAAAAAGACAACACAAACATTAAAGTGCATATTGAAAAACACATCATGTCAATATTAGATGTAGCCACAAGTTATATAAAAAAAGATAAGAAAAATAATACTAGTTGTTGACAAATATCCTGCAAAAAGATTAACATACCTGTATCGACTACAAAATCTAATCCTCCTAGTTTGCGTAGTTCTTCCTTCAGCCAGTCGGTTGCTTTTCGAGAAGTCAAGGACAAAAGGCACTCCATAGCAAGGTAGTTTGTCTGGGGAAAGTAGAAAATAGTTTTTTTACATTTTGCCAAGCAAGCACCAAATTTATATATAAGTAAAATTTGATTCTTGTACAGGCTTCATTGAATCTTCAGGTGAAGAAACAGCACATTTTTCATGATACTGGCACTGTAAATGCCATCGTCACCATCACTACATCATCATAACCGCAAAGTGTCAGGAATACCTGCAAGTCCTACAAACACTCATGTGTGTGCGTATGTTTCCACTGCTGACCTTAGCAACTATATCCAAGGGGCGGGGCTTAGTGGAAAGGTCAAATAGCAATGTAATTGCTATCTTGATGTCATTATCATTATCTCACATGTCATTCTCATTTTACTACATCATCATCATCATTGCTCTCTGCACCATTATTAATAGCACTGTCATTGTCATCATCACAATCCTGTTGCCATCACAAATATCATCAACCTCATTACTATTATCAGTGCTATATCACTGCCATTGTCACTGTTAATGTCACTAGTATTAGTATGTCACTGTCATCATCAAAATCACTATCCTGATTCATCGTTATCATCTTTATCATAAATCATTTAAACTTCACTGTCATCACTACCACCATTATTATTGCCATTGTCATCCTCAAACAATGTATTGTATGGGTAATAAACACACATTGCATTGAGACTCTCAAATAATTAATTATGCACAATTCATAATCCCTTTTATAAACTACTCCCATTCAAAATGATCAATATAAACAGTACACTCAAGTGAGTTACAATACATTATAAAACCATGAGGTTTCAAAGGCATCAAATCTTTTCAATCAGGCCTGTCTCATGAATGAGATACAGTATGCCTCTGGAACAAATTGAGGAAGCATGAGCTTCCACAGGCTCCAAGCCTCCTACATTTGAACTTGATGACTACAGTCTACTATATGGCCAAGTTAAAAAAAAAAGTAGTTTCTTGTTAAGTACTGAAATAGCATAATATTGATAATTTTGATATTTTTATATCCCCCTACTTTGGCCATGTACATCAGATTCAGAGTTAAGAGCTAAAAACTTGAAAAAAATCTGAGGGCAAAAAAATGGAGCCTTTACCCATCTTTTGGTTTTCAATAATAGCAGATATTTTTTTTACTTTAGTCAGAATTTTTATTTCAATAAACTTTTATTTCTCTTGACTTACTGAAATCTTGCCAATCTCAACATCACGCTTGACTGCATTTGTGTCTGGAATCTTCTCCAAAATATCTTTCACCTTCTCCAAAGTCTTTTTGAATTCTTGAACCACAGGCGTGTCAGAGGTCATATCCACAGGGGCGTAGGTCAACAGTTTCATCAGGAGACCAATAATCTGGCGATTGTAATCCATGTTAAGACGATCCCGACTCAACATGTACATCAGAAATGCAGTACTTACAGCCAAGCTCTGTAAAATACAAGATCATTGCACATAAAATCATTATCACTAAAATTTTATGTTGTTCTATGAAATTTCATGAGAGACAACAGTCTCTGGTATACAGTACAGAATATGACCCAGACAATATTGTAACAATGACAAATATAAACTTACAGGATCACTTTCTGCATCGTAAAGTTCACGGAACAGTTTCGAAATGGTGCCATGTGCACGGAGATGAACACGGAAAGAGGGTGCAGAACACTTGCTGGCTAGGCTTATTATACTACAAAGAACAAAGAAATATGAACTGAAAACAGCTGGTGAAGAGCATTAAATGTTTACCTGCCAAGAATATATATCAGATCCCTCAGAATAAGCTCATACGATGCGTTCTGAGTTTGAAGCCAAGGAACTTCAAAGAAATTCCAGACACTGAATAGCAGTGTAGCACAAATTTAAGTTAAATCATGTTTAGAATTTTGAATGATGCATGTCCAGAATATTTAAAAGAATGGATTTTGAGGGCAAATAGTATACATAGTTACAACACAAGATTTCCAAATTCTTCAATTTTTTAGAGCTAAATAAGATAATAACAATAAATCTACTTTTTTGTCAACATCCGTTTGCCTTTGGAACTTGCTACCGAATCCAATTCAGAAAATTAATAGTATGTTACTCTTTAAAAAGAAACTACAGTTACATTTGTATTTAATTTTATCGCATAGGGACAGTGGGATGGGATAAATAACTACTTTTTTTCAAAGATAAATGGCATATTTATAGAGTAAGTATCATCATATTTTTTGTGTTTGTTTTAGGGACCACAATGGAATTAAGTCGGCCGATTGGATACTTTATTGTGTTTTTTATCCCAAAATTCTGTACTGTCTTTGTTTATTTGCACTGTATTGTTGTTGTAGCTATTTTTATTAAATATAATAGTCCTGTTTATCAAAACATTACTGTACTTGTTTGCACAGTAGAACACTGTTCTACTGCTAGAGATGGTCCCAGTATGGTCTCAATGCCCATCTACATTGATTGCAAATCCTTCAATGTATAATCTCTAATTTATTTTACAATTTTAAACAGCAATACTGAAATTAATTTTGACTAGATATTGTTAGATCATCCACACCCTAAGTAATTTAATCTTATTCTTCACATATCTGTTTTTACCTGAGACACCTCACTGGTGTTGGTTCTAAGTTACTGAGTCCATCCAGCAGATACTCAATATCATCAAAAAACTGTTGACTTTCTCCAGACTCCTGGCACTGATGGGCTTGCTTTACATTCCTTACCACAGTGTATAACTATAAAAAATGAAAAAAAAAAAAAAATATATATATATATATATATTAACAAAAACTATTATTGTATCACTCTTGTTCCTGTGTATTAACAACCACTGTTTAATGTAGGTGCACAGTGCCAGACTGCGCAATTGCCCGCAAAAAATTAAGGTCTACATTTTTTCCTTTTTCTGTGCAATTTTGAGTTGGTAATTGATGTATCACACTCTTTCCACTATCAAGCATTATTTGCCCATATATGGGTGTGATATGACATCATTATTCCCATATATGGGTATGATAAGACATAATTATGCCCATAAATGGGTGTGATATGACATCATAATGCATGTATAAGGGTGCGATAAGATATAATTAATGTGCCCATGTGGGTGTAATACGACATCATTAATATGCCCATATGTGGTTGTAATTTGACATCATCATATCTGTATGGGCAAACCACAGAAAATGTGACTGTGTGGACACAGCGTGGGATTAGTTATGATCACATGAAAAGGGGAGGAATCTTTTGAATTTTATTGGCCGGCACATGTTGGCAGTTAAGAGGCTGTCTCTTATACACATCTAGATGTGTATAAGAGACAGTTAACAACCACTGTTTAATGTAGGTGCACAGTACCAGACTGCGCAATTGCCCGCAAAAAATTGAGGTCTACATTTTTTATTTTTCTGTGCAATTTTGAGTTGGTAATTGATGTATCACTCTCTTTCCACTATCAAGCATTATTTGCCCATATATGGGTATGATATGACATCATTATTCCCATATATGGGTATGATAAGACATAATTATGCCCATAAATAGGTGTGATATGACATCATAATGCATGTATAAGGGTGCGATAAGATATAATTAATGTGCCCATGTGGGTGTAATACGACATCATTAATATGCCCATATGTGGTTGTAATTTGACATCATCATATCTGTATGGGCAAACCACAGAAAATGTGACTGTGTGGACACAGCGTGGGATTAGTTATGATCACATGAAAAGGGGAGGAATCTTTTGAATTTTATTGGCCGGCACATGTTGGCAGTTAAAATATGCTATCTGCTATATATTGTGCTGTTTCGCAAGTATTTTAATATTTGAATGGCAAGTTGTTGAATTATGTTACAATACATGTGTTCTGTGTGGTAGTGTAGGTTGTGTTTTCACATTTATGTACTTTGGTCCATTTGCCTGGTATGTAATCTTTATAGTTTTTGGCCTATGTGTCTATTTGAGATTATGCTTTATTGCATTATTTAGCTTTATCATTACATTTCATTGTCTCAGCTCTTTGGTAATTTACTACTTTTAAGCAGGGGCCTAGGATTTAAGGTTTCTTTGTTAAACTTATCTAGGCCTCCTTCTGCATATTTTTTATGCTATCATCTATATATTAAATATGTGCAAATCCATATGTTAAATATGTGGAAATAAAACAAAAACGAAACGAATGCTGTGAATGTGAACATATGCTTATTAAATCTGCTCATTTTAGATAAATACATTATTACACTGTCTGACAATTATACAGTTCATAACCTGCTGTTATAACAGATTGCAGAAAGCTGTATGTTTAAAATATCCCAACATATCAATATTAATATTGTTGTTGTGACTGCTCCTGTTGCTGTATGCTGTTACTGACACTATTATCAGTATCACAGTTTTAGTAGTAACAGTGGAAGTGAGTATACATTTAATATAGAGTATGTAACTAAAGACAACCTTACTGGAAATCCATGGAACATAATATTCAATATGTAATCATTGAAACAAATTGATAATTTTTTACTTCTCCTTTTTTTGGAGGTTTTTGTGAATAAACTGAAATCTAAATCAAACAAATGACAGTTGAAATATAAGGCCCAGATTCAATTAAACATTACACCAGCTCAAAAAGAGTGAGTTAAGGCCATTTTAGACAGCATCGTACAATGCAGCCCGATGCGATTCATTGTCGGGGACAGTCTTAAGCCGTTGTGAAAAATATTAAACATGTTTTAATATTCTACGACACAACTGTCCAAGGCACAAACCATCGCATCCGCATTTAACTCACACAGACCTGACGTGACAACAAATCGCGTCGCACTGCATTGTACGACGCTGTCTGATTTGGCATTTATACACACTATAAGCGTTGTTACCCGAACCACTAGAACTGAAAGTGCATCAAAAGCTCTATTCACACAAATTTAATGTCACAAATACCATTTGCCCATATATGGGTGTCATATATTATCATGCCCATATATGGATGTAATGCTACATGGCCATATGAGAAATTCACACAAATATGTCACATAATAGTTTGGATACAACTTTAAATAATATATTCTTTATTGGCAGAAAATCATTGAAATTATGGCATGTTAAATGTAATGTACTATATATTTTTTTAAATAGTGAACATGTTAGCATAGAGTATTCCAAGTACTCCAACAGGTGGAGATGACAATAAATATTCGTTTTTGAAAAACAAACATGAATATCAAGCACCATACCTCCTTTTCCTCGCGGTGGCACTTCAACGAGGTAACAATGGAATGGTTCAGCCTGGTCGGGTATATCACCTGCTTGGTAATTCCGCCCACTGCCTGGTTCATCTTTTCTGTGGATCTGACCGACATTGCAGCGGGCCGCTTCATCTGTCCACTGCTACTTGGTCGGCTTTGAATCGTCCTCTCGTCAGCTGTTGAGGCAGACTATTTTTAACCAGAAAAATAACTGTACGTTATCAGTCTGAATATAATTTTCACAAAAGTATTTTTTAAATTCAAAAATTTTGTTGGTGCAAAATAACAAACAATTGTACAAATAACTGATTGATTGATAATGGATAATACAAATATTTTGTAATTTAAATATTTAAAAAAAAATAAATTAATGCTTTTCAGTCAATTCCTTCCAAAAATAAACAATACGATTTTTACAAGACGATTTCAACAAAATATGACAGTTAAACTCTATTAATTTTCAAGCACTGAAGGAAAATTTGACTTACCTCACCAGAGTCGTCATTATGACTAAGGTCCTTCTGCCAGGATCTTGCATTGTATCGGATTTTAGCAGGAGACTAAATAAAAAAACAAAATCAATAAACCCTTCAACCAATAAATCAACTAATTAAACAACTTTTTAATGAACAACTAAACCAATCAATACCAATATGCAACAAGTGTCTTTGGACATGAAGCAATAACTCTTAAGTGTTGGAAAACAGAGCAGAAAAAATAATTACAGGTGCAACTAAGTATAAATCAAGTTCGCAAGCACTCAAAACACTTGGTTGGAAAAATCTTGATGCAAAATTAAAATTTAATGAAGCTGTTACTATGTATCAATTTTTAAATAATCAAACGCCATCTTATATGTCAAGACGTTTTCTTAAAAAAGAATACAAATACAATATGAGGTCACAAAATAACATTGATACTGTATTGGTGTTCCAAGAACTAAATATTAAACAAGAAAGTTTTAGCTACAGAGGTGCTGCATTGTCAGGGGCGGATTTAGGGGGGGGGGGCCGGCCCGGCCCC